TATAGTATAGATAGTATAGAGAGAGAGAGATATATAAGAGAGAGAGAGAGAGAGAGTGCGTCGTGTGTGTGTGTGTGTGTGTGTGTGTGTGTGTGTGTGTGTGTGTGTGTGTGTGTGTGTAAGAGAGATATAAATTCATGATAATTTAATGTTTTGTATCAGCGGTATCTATTGCCGGATCGACTCGGCTCTTAATTATCCCTCCTTAGAAGCATTTGCATTACTGTCCGACTTACCAGGCGAGGAATTAATATCAGGTGATCTGTTTTCCCCCATGCCTGTGGCATGAAGTGTTCCGCACAAAATTGAACAGTATTCGCATCACAAAGTATCGCTGTATTTCCACGCTCGAGTATCCAGCTTCATAGACTGTCGAGGCAGCACACAGACACACGCACACATGCGCTAAATTTTCTCATGCGTAGTTTCGATGACCAATCGGTTGACACTGTACGTCAACGCTGCGAAACGTAAAAAAACATGCGTGTCTTTCCCGGTACACCGTGGCAGGCGAGTGAGCGGCGCACCCAAGCGAGCAAGTCACATATCCAGCCCGTAGAAACTATTGTAGTACATAGTACGCTAGGCTACCAGTGTGCCGTCACGCTTCATTCATACGAAGGCGCCATACACTATACACACGCCATTCACTATACTACACTGTCTTGGTTTATATAGAGATCAGTGGTCATAGCTAATTCGTTTTTCCTCGGGGTGAGGGCGAAATTCCGGTTGTGGTTTGTGCTTTGGCTGTGGCCAGTTCAACGTTTTCTATTGACAATGTAATAGCACTTACAAGGGACTACTATATACTACTAGGGGGATTGCCCACGGTCCCCTGCTAGCTAGATTGTCCAGCAGTTTGTTCGTATAAATTCTTCACGTGCGTCCAATGCAATATTAAAATCAGGGTTGCAAAGGTTGGGTGAGTGCATAGTGTATTGGTATAGGGGTTATTCGTCTAACTATGTTATATATGTGGGGTTATGCGTGGCAGATTGCGGCGGAACTCAATTGTTCAGGATCACTTTGTGTACATATATTCTTGTTCATATATTTAATAATTGTTCTAATGCGAAATATGACACATACATCCAATATCAAAAAAGATAGTTGGTTGGTTTTGGTGAGTGCATAGCGTATTGATCTTGGAGTTGACAATCCAGGGTTGAAATCCTGTAATTTCTTGTTAAAATGTTTTCTCACTATTGTGTAACATATATATGCGCATTAGATCTAAACAAAACAGAATTGATAAGGTTGGGTGAGCGAGTGGCTGTTTTTCTGTGAGACGTACGGTGGTTACGGGTTTGATTACAGTTGAAATTGTAATGATGACTTGAATGATACACTTTTTTTTTACACAATGGTATTCTATAATCTATCTATATAACGCATAATTTTGATCTGAATAAGGCAGCATATGTATATATTTGTGTTAGGGCGCAGAGTACGTTACGGGGAGTTAGTAGAGCAGGGTACAACTCTTATTAAAAACTTCTAACAGTTGTTGCGCGAAATGTAACATATCCACACGCACGCGCACACACGCACGCACGCACGCACGCACACACGCACACACAAACACACACACACACACACACACACACACACACACACACACACACACACACACGCACACACACCTTCTTCGAAAAAAACCAGGATGGGTAATCGCGTAACAGATTGCGGAGGGACTCAACTGTCCAGGAGTCAGTTTGTGTAAATTATTCTTCATATAATTAATAACTGTTGTCATGCGAAAACATACGTTCAATATCAAAGAATAAGGGTTGCTAAGTTTGTGCGAGTGTATAGCGTATTGGTCGGGGAGTTGACGATCCAGGTTTTCCAGTCATTTCTACTCAAAATGTTTCCTCACAGTCGATCGTTAAGGGGAAATATAATATGTGTATTAGATCTGAACAAATAGAATTGACATGCGGTTTGGTAACATGCCAATTGGTGCTGCGGCTTGGACTGGGAGACGATGGGCACGGGTTCGATTCCTGATGTAATTATAATGATGTTTTGAATGTGTTTGATTTTTGTGTGAAAATGTTTTCTATAATTCTGTTAATATAAGAGACAAATTTATGATCAAGATTAAGCTGCATGAGTATATTTATGTTTGGACGTAGCGTACTGTACAGGAAAATAAAAGCGCAGGGTACAAATCTTGGATGAAAATTAAAACAGTTGTTCTGCGGAATGTAAGACATGCACAAATCCTTCTCCTATGCTAACGTACATAGGAATGGCGCTCGCGTTGCTGGTCGCGTTGGCAGCCAAGATAATACTTTTGGGGTCTAACTTGCGCATTTCAAACGGACAGGGATATGCCAGGTGTAAGGATGTGCATGGTAAAATATGCTCTAGACATTTGCCTTTAGCCGCAGCATCCCGCCACAATCCTTCTCATATCAGGAGCTCATATGCTAATTTACATAATAATGGCGCTCGCGTCGCTGGTCGCGTTGCCAGCCAAGATAATACTTTTCGGCCATATCTGCGCGTCGTTTCTTCATTTGGTTGCGTTTGGCTTGTGCCATGGGTACACATAATCTGGAACCACATATCTTGTGTTATAGTTTAGCACTATCATCCAGCTCCAGGATCTAGATAAGAAGGTATTCTAAGATAATGGTAATTTAACCAAGGACTGCACCAGGCACTGTAGAGCCTCCTACGAATTGTGCTTATCTCAGGCGACGTGAGTATGCATGGCACAGCGTGGAGGAACAAGACAAGCACGTGAGTGAAATAATTGCGTCGCTGCGAACTAAATACGGTCGAGTTCGAAAACAGTCAATCGTATCAAAAGTCGAAAAAATCGAAGCAACGGATCAAAGATCAGCAAAGAAATATATCGCGGACTTTTACCAATGGACAATGAATTAATAGTATGAACACATAATATATAATCTACGCAACCACAGAGGTGCTGCCTAAATACTGACAACGTACATCGTAGGGTGGAATGGTGTATTACTTGAGCAGCTTCTCACCATAGATATCAGACGTGATGAAGCCTTCATGTGTACACACGGAAACTACGCCCTCTGGGGGAAGGCCTCTGATTGTGCATGATCTATACAAGAGAGTATATAGTCGTACGGCATACGGCTATGCTTTACACGGCTTTAGAAACTCTATATACAGCTGTATTGTAACTGTAACATATGATTTACAGATGTTACATAAATTAGTTAGAGACGCGGAGTGCGGCTAGACTCGGGGTTGTTTTAGTGGTAATCTATGTAGACGGAGCATCGCGCGTCTTGTTGCGGCTACATTGATGTTATAGGGAGAATTGTAAACGTGTTTTAGGTCGGGCGTTTCTAGGGTCATTGTGAAATGAGGGTGGGCACATAGGGCTGTGGGTTAGTGACATATGTGGGTGAGATGACGTGTGTGGTAGGCTGGGAAGGACAGAGATGTAGGAGTCGAGGAGTCTGGTTGTGGTCGCGGGAGCGTGTGTGTGTGTGTGGGGGGAGGGGTGCGCGTTTCTTTATCTCTATGTGCAAGATGTGACTCACTACACTGTGTGCAAGATATTAAAGTTTATTCAGTTTACCACGCAAGTGTTGGCTTACTTCATCATTTCAACTACGAAACGTACATCAACGTTATAGTAACCATTCAGTGGGAAACTAGCTGTTTTCTGTTGACACTTTTTACGACCATTGTATGTATTAATGACTGGCTAGAACTACAATACATAAATACGCGCACGCGCGCGTGCACGCACCCCCATATATATATATATATATATATATATATATATATATATATATATATTTGTGTGTGAGAGAGAGAGAGAGAGTGTGTGTGTATGCGCGCGTGTGTGTGCGTGTGTGTGTATGACTGTGTGCGTGCGCACGCGCGCGTGTGTGTATGTGCGTGTGTATGAGGTGAATGTTATAAGCATATTAGGTTTGGGTATGGCAGCGCAATACGTTACAGTACATGGCGAGCCAATTAAAGCTGTTAGCTGTCATTATATGACGTTAGCGCGGAAATTGGATGTGAGTATCGAGCTATTAGAAGGTTATCAGGCGTTATTATTTGCTGTTATACATAGCAGGTGAGGCTGGTAAGGTGGTCAGCGTCACGTGTCTGTTGTCCGTGTGCCTTGATCTGTTAGACGATAAGTGTTACATGTAGCAGGTATGGCTGTTATATAGAGGTGATCAACTGGGCTTCAACAGTCGTAAGCCAGTACTCATGACTTTTAGCGGAAGAAAGCGCTTTTGGTCATGTTAGCTGTCATTGTGGATTGCGAAGCAGTTGAGGTTATCCGTTAATGTAGTGGAGTGCAGGTCAATGTGCAGGCTTGTTCATTCGTTAGTTCATTCTTTTTTACAGGTCCTCTTTTTAACAAGTAGCCACGTCCTGTAGAACCCTGACTTGCTTTACCTATTGGAACAATGCACGAGGAATCTAAAGTCATGTTTTATAATACTTGAATTGTGTTAATGGCTGCATGCGCGGGCGGGTGCGAGTGTGTGTGCGCGCGGGCGTATGTGTCTATACTGATATTGAGAAATGGTCAGATAGTCAGTTGGCTATTCATTTCTCCCCGGACAAATATGATGAAGCAGTCACGATTCGTAAATGAGAATATTCTTTCTATATCTACATCCTAACAGTAGGTAACCGATACTCCCTCAATCACGTTGATGTGATCCCTTCCTGTGGCCACGAAGGGCTTACGGAAAATATAAAAAAAAGCGATATCATGATGCGCCTTATTAGAAGAACTCTATATTATTCCGACGAGGAAAACCTTTTACTGTTATTATATAAGGCACCTGCGCGACCCTTTCTTCAGTATGGCAATGATTTTTAGAGTCGTCGTAGGGTTACACAAGTGAATGCGTTATAAAATAACCACTGGAGCGCCACAAAATTTGTATCTCTTTAAAATCGCCTTAAATCTATCAAAAACAAGTGCCGCAGAGCGACAGCGCTCAACTGACGTGTACTGTAGCCGGGTATTCTTCTGATAAACTCACTGGCAACCGAATCAAGTGCGCCCTCCCGCCACCGCGTTCGCGCTCAGAGCATATATCTAGGATACTACTAATACAGATCTAAAATCTATGATAGCTAGGCTTTGCTATACCGTTTGTACAGTAATAAAGATACAGCTATGTAACTTTAATGACTTCGCTATATTAACATGTTATCATGGATATGCGTCGAGCGCGAGCGTAGTGGTGGTGGATGGAGGGTGGGGGGAGGGGGCGGGTG